TGTGTGTGTGTGTGTGTGTGTGTTTGTGTGTTTGTACCTGTCTCTGCTGAGTCATTTAGCCAATGGCTGCGAGTTGCAGAGTGTGGCTGTCAATGGTTTATACTAAATATGCTAATAGCCCGACACCTGTTTGTATAAGAAGAGGGAAACACACACACCTCCCCATCATGCACACACACACTCAAACACTCCCACACAACATTAGAGCAGGGGGAACAGAATTTTCTGTTTTGCTTTTGAGGGTGATTGAAAACACATTTCTGTCTCTGCTATCGTTTTGTGTTCATGAGTCTCACTCCAACAAGGAGCTAGGTTTGCAGTGTTATACAAGCTCTAACTTCATCTCTCCTGTCTCTTCAGTGATGGAGCCCATGACGGTGACAACGTCCATGGTCGGGCCGGACGAGTTCGACCGCAACGCCCCGCGGATCTGTGGCGTGTGCGGCGACAAGGCCACCGGCTTCCACTTCAATGCCATGACCTGCGAGGGCTGCAAGGGGTTCTTCAGGTGGGTGTCACCCCTTAATGCAAACACAATGTCTGTTTGAGTCTTTAGGTTGGGGGATGATGGCATGAAAGGACATGTATGTGTGTGTGCGCATCTAATGTATTATGAGTGATTTATCTGTGTGCCTGAAACTGAAGCATTGCATCTCTAATTTTCTTACTGTTGTTAGTTGCATTCAGTGAAAAATCTGACATTTACGTGGTTTTCTTTATAAAAACTTTTAATTTTCAGAGAAGTTGAATATCTGCCCTATTAATATACAGCTCTGGAAAAAATAAAGGGACCACTGCAATATATATATACTGAAAACATATCTCCCAAATTCTAAATTTATCAGACATTTATCATGAATGAAATGTCTGTCATACATGTACAGATTGTCTTGTCTCTTTTAACATACACATTTAAAGAGGGTTTGTGCATGTGATTGTCTTGATGATTTTTCTGTCTGGCTTAATCCTTTCACCACCACCACCCATCCCCCCTCTTTATCACTCGCTCTCCACATTCACTCACGGACAAAGATACTGTAGATACACAACACAGATATACTTCCACCTCCATCAAGGATGGCAGATAGGATTCAGTGATGAAGCAAAGTAATACATTTTAGTCCCGGCAACCGAAGGAAAAAGGAAAAGACATCATCCCTTCAAATGGGAATTTAAATCATGAGTGGAAGAAGCTGGTTCAGGTAGTTTAAATAGGAATTGCTACAAACTGTTGATATAAAATTAATGTCAAATGTGTGTAATGTTAAGTCCAGTGCAACTTATTTGCTTGTAGGGTTGCAACCCAATTGCTTAATTATTTTCAGTAAGTTACATATTATATGGGTGAAATATATGCACTGCATAAAATTAAACTTTCATGAATCACCAATGACATTATTTTCCATTTCTTCTCATGTTTTTATGCTGCATGAAACCATGAATCCATCTATTACTCAATACATTTGAGTCACCACAGGAAATAAATGCGTCGAAATGAACTAATGATTCATTTTGAACTCTTGTAGGCGCAGCATGAAGCGCAAGGCCTCCTTCACTTGTCCATTCAACGGAAGCTGCACCATCACCAAGGACAACCGGCGCCACTGCCAGGCCTGTCGACTCAAACGCTGCATCGACATCGGCATGATGAAAGAGTGTGAGTTAACCTTTTTTGCGATGGCTGACATCTGAGCAGTTCTGCTAATATGATGGAGTCAGATATTGAGATGGAAATACAACTTGAGCTGGAAGTATTTCACTTTCAACAGAAGCAGAGCTTGATGTTATGCTGTAATGTGCTGTTAGCCATTTGTGCTTGTAAATACAAAGCTAAAACACTGACTGATGATTAGATAATTTGGAGTTTTTTCAGCACTTGAGGTGGATCCATTGCTGTTCATGCCATGTCACATGATTAACCCATGGGGACCTAAGGGGACAGAATAAAACGCACTCTTAAATCACTGCATTGTTTGAAAACAACCACCTAAAACCAGGGCTTTCTGACGAGCTGACAGAATTGCACATATACAAAAAATTTAATTTCCCAGCCTCTGAAGCAGATTAAATAAAACCATTTTTTTTAACATTTGGCTTTCATTGTAAATCAAGTCTAGTATTGAGTAATCGCCCTCCTTTTGCTTTTTGAAGTGTAACTTCACCCCTAAATTGAGCTGAAGTGAAGTGTATCACAGAAAATTCAAAAAATGCCTTGAGAACACATTGCAGAGAGGCGGGTCCAAGATGGTTTGAAATACTGGGTGCGTTCAACCCACAAGTTTAGATTTTTAAAAATAGATTTGGTGATCATTGTGGTATTAACACCAGCATTAATGTGCTTCATTAATGTCATATAATTCAGATTACAGCTCAAATTACAAACAAGTGTGAATTATCTATTTAATATGCTATCATCATCATTATTAGAGTTGAACCTAATAGTGTTTTGATTTCTGATGCTGTCTGTGTACGGAACAGTCAAGTAAATGCTCTGGAAAATTTTAGCTGCCCTGGCTTCCTGGAGAGATAAACATAAGGTTTGCTGATGCTCACAGTAAACTGGCTTCCCGCTTGCACCGTTTATAAATTGATATCTACAAACATTCAGGAGGAAGAGCAACCAATTGAATCTACGGTCAGTGTAAACTGATCTGATTTGCTACAAGATGTTCTGGCTATGCATGAGGCTGTGCTGTGCCATATGGTAAATTCTGGCTTGGGTCAGATAATAGCTGCAAACAATAATAATAATAACAATAGAAATACATTAAATCCTGCTTTTTTCCTTCCAGATGGACTGTGTATCATTACCACAGCTGTGATTGTGTTAATCAAATCACAGTAATATATCTCAACTATATAATCTTTTATGTCTGAAAGGCTGTGTGACACAGCTGCGCTCGTCGCCATGCTGGTTATGCATACAGTAGCAGCGTGTAACGCAAGTAGAACGTGCTGTGAAAAGAGAATGAGACATCAGTTCACCCCACGGTAACACAAGATGACACCTTGTCTTAACACATTCATAATGATTAACATAGAAGCGTATCTTTAATCTGCATGTTGACAAATTAGCACATTACAGCCGGTAATCATTACAGCCGGTAATCATTACAGCGTCCCTGCCGCGTTTCGCTTATTTAAATGTCAACGAGTGAGGAAGTCGGTGTGTATGTGAATACTAACGCAGCAAGAGGAAAATAAAGGAGAGGGAGGAAATGAAGGAAGGGAGGGGGGTTAAAATCTTGCTCAACAATGGCTCTTTCTTCAAAGAGATGCACAATGGTCTTTCCCACATTTCATTCACAAATGTGTGTGTTTGTATGTGAGCTTGTCTGTATATTCCAGTGGGGACTTAAAACTGAATGAATTCTAACCCATGGCGACTCTTGTTACCTTGGGGACAGAAGTTGAACTCCCAATGGGTAGAGACTGGTTTTTGAGAGCTAAGATGAGTTAAGTTGTGACGTGTGATGTGCTCGTCTGTCTGTGTTTGTGTGGAACATGATAACTATTGACCACAAATAGCCACATGACACTGGAAGGTCTGTGTTTCCTTGAGAAAATATGAGAGAGGAGTGAGCCAGAGGAAAGAGAGAGGGTGAGACTCTTATCAGTATAAAAGAGTGTGTTGTCTCTCACAGCTACTTCACAGCTCATGTGTGGAAGGAGGCCTACAGTATTCAATGCTGAGTGTTACAGTGGCTCTGCTTGTCTCCATATGGAGACAGGTTGTTTTTTTTCTGCATTAAGATCCTAAAGGCTGCTGTGTTGTTCTTGTTAAACCAGTCAGGCAGAATCAGTCCAGGATGTTGTATGGGATGTTGTGCATTTGTATTTGTAAGGTAAACATACTTTAAACTGTAAACAGTTAATAAGTTACATTTTAGCTTCCGATTTGCCCTGGCAATAAAAATCCATTCTCAGTTTCAACCATTGTTTCATGCTTTTTTTTTTTTAAGAAAAAAGTATCGGTTCTGGCACCGTTTGGGAACCAGTACTGATTTAGCAGCAAAATTGGGAAAAACCCAAACGATACCCAGTGTTTCTAGCTGCTTCTGAAATCATCCTTATGAAACTGGAAAATAGAGAGGAACAGTTATGGTGTGGATAACTGGGCATTTTCCTGACCGGAAGTTTAAGCCACAGTCCATACACTCATTGAGCCAAAGTCGCTCAGTTTATTTTCCTATTTAGAATAAATAAATCCAGGGTAAGTAGGTCATGGTTGATGTACCATCTTTGCCTCATTTTGAGCCAGGAAAAATCCTGTGTATCCATTTCACTGTGACTACTGTCTGTGTGTGTGTGTTCTTTGCATACGTGCCTGTTCGTGCGTGTGTGTGTGTGTGTGTGAAATGCTCTAATTTAAAATATTTCTCTGTGTAAAGACCACAGCTCATTGGGATCTCTCAGGTCAGACCACAGTGTTTTGCCAGATATAGTCTTATATAGGTTATACTCATAGCATCTCTGATCGCTCGCTTGGTGTTGTTATATATTTCGTGTGCGCGCCTACAGGTTGGGTGTAAGTGTGGCACTGATGGGTCAACACTTGACTGTGTCAGATTAATTACAGAGGTTTTGTTTCTCAGATGGACACAAAAACAGATAGGGAGCGCACACACACACACAAGCATGTGGTGTTAATAAAAGAGATTCTTATTTCTTGTCTTGATCGGTCTCCATGTTGTCGTATGCCTTTGGTCCTGCGATCTGTTGCCAATTTGACTTCAGCAAGGAAAAGAGATGAATGCTGTCTGCATGTCTCATGTTATTCATATGTGTCTCCTGTTGTGTCTCATCAGTCTGTCTCACCATGAATCTTGGGACAGCACTGATGAACATGATGAGCTTGGGAACATACTTCCTGCTCTATCCTGGATATACTGATATGTTCACCACCTCACGCAGGATGTCGCAGCACTGGTATTTGTGTTTACTCCTAAACTACAGAAAGTAAAGGTATCGTTTTTTTTTATCATTCAAAAATGTTTTATATCTTTCAAAATGTTAAGTTGATGAGGCTGAATTAAAATTCTTCTGACGTTAGGACTAGGTTATAATGTAACCTTTAATTTTGAATGGAAGATCCTACATTATGTTCATGAATGCATCTTTTGAGGTTTAATTGAAGTACGGTTACCCACTGTTTGTATGTGTTTGTCTGATTTTACGCCATCCTATCTTAAAATTGGCAGAATGGGCATAGCTTCACTAGCATTCAGATTAGAACTTTGTGTGTGTGTATTTGTTTGTGTGTGTGTGTGTGTGTGTGTGTGTGTGTGTGTGTGTGTATTTGTTTGTGTGTGTGTGTGTGTGTGTGTGTGTGTGTGTGTGTGTATTTGTTTGTGTGTGTGTGTGTGTGTGTGTGTGTGTGTGTGTGTGCACTCTGTGAGCTGTGCCAGCTGAGTGCGTATAGTAAACACCCCTACGCTGTCCTTGTTTGACAGAGGTTAGAGATATGCCAAGAAAAAACCTTCCCACTTGTGTGAGTGTATTTGCATTCTTGCAGTGTTTTTGTGTTTGCACGGATGTGTATTTGTAACAGGATTAGAATCACACCAGCGATTCTGAAACGTTGTCAGTGTCTTTCAGTAGCAAAGCTTCTCCTGAGGTTTCTGTCCTCCCTAATTCACATTCTTCATCCTCTCTCGGACTCTTTTGTATTCTGTCCCTGTGACAGCCTTTCTGTCAGGTGGACAAAAGTCTTTGACATCTGCATTACAATAAGTGCCAGATGCTCCATTTATAGTGGGATACACAAAAACATAACAATGTAAGTATGAATAACTCCAAACAACTAAGACTTTATAGCCCAGAGACTATTTGTATATTGTCTGAAAGCATTGTGTAATGTGAACTTCAAAGATGATTGAAACACACTTGTTGTGAACCCCTTGGATTTCTTCGTAAAGCCTCTTTTCCACTGATCAAAACACCCACATACATCTGGCTTTTGTCTGCAATGAGAAATAATTTAATCAGCATTCACTCCCAGGTCAAATGGCTCTGCAGTAGGGCTGCACCTATCGATGTTTTTGTTTTATCGATTAACCTCACAATTCTTTTTTTCGATTAATTGATTGATCTAACACTTATTTTTTATTACTTTATTAATGTAATAATGATTCTTTTTAAATAAAATATTTTTTCTATTTAATCTATTTATTTAATCAGCTTCTCTTAAATACAAACAAATATGACAAAAAATTAACTATGTAGTGCAAGGCATTATTCCACAACAAAAAATAGCCCAGTCTGAACTTCTTATCAGCCGTTTACAGTCCCATATCTCTCCAAAATATAGTTAGTGCAAGAGCTTGTTCCATTCAAGTAAAGTGAGTTTATCAATCTACATTAAGCTGTCCATCAACAAAATAAATGAAAGCCAAAGTAAAATAAAATCAAGTAATCTTCTGAAATTTTGCCTTTTTCTTGGCCTGTGGTAATGCTGGGCACAGCTTTCTTTCTGAAATTATAAAAGGGGCCTGCTGTTGTCCTAATCTCCAATGTCACAGAATGTCCCAGCTGCTGCAGAGCACTGGTCCCCCTTTTTATTCAAAGTTTATCAATATTGATTGTATCACATGTCCAAAATGCACCAAATTCAACGCTGCACTTCTTTGGGCCCTTAAGGATACACATGCCATATGTGAAGTCATTAAGATTAACCGTCCTAAAGATGATTGACAGACATAGATAAATAAACCACTGTTGGAAAGATTTCGTCAGTAATTTCTATTGTAACATTGCATCATTATGCAAGAAATTACAAAGTAGACATAATCAAGTGTCACCTAATGTCTTTGTGCCCCACTCCGCCCTACACTCCACACTTTCATTGTGATCTACTGATAAGCCATTTTGTGTGACACTCAGCATGTGTTAATGCACTGATGCCTGACTGACCTGAATTTACCCCTTCAGCGTCACAGGCCTAAAGCAGTAGTGGAAAAATCTTCTCCACACACCAAATCCAGCTTGACATATATCACACCAGATCTGAGTGTTCGCAGCCTTCATTGTACTTTAACTGGTCCGCTGGCTGGTTAATGAGTAAGCCCGCTGTGAACCTCAGGCCTCCACAGAACTCCTCAACACTTTTCCCCTCGTCGTGAGTGTGGCATTACTGGTGTTTACCAAACTTTTCTTTTCTGTTTTCTCCACCAACTTCACTGTTTGCCTTTTCTTTCTGTCCTTCTTTCTTTGCTCCTTTCTGCCATTCAGGGCACCACATCACCACATCCAATCAGTCCCTGCCCAAACAGCAAACTTTCTTTGGTAAACTGCTGTGTGTCTGCCAAGAACTGTGGGGTGGTCAAATGTTCTTTTGATGGTCGGTTGTTTTTTGTGGACTCCTGCCTTGACGATGCCATCCAGGGCTCAAACTTGGCTGGAAACTCGGCTTGTTCAATCATGTTCCAGCCTTAGAATAGCTGCTTTGACAACCTGTGCCAAACTTTGACCAAACTGTGCCTATTCATGTTCAGGTTGCATGCTTGGATGTCCTCACCACAAGGAGTGGTTCTGGCTTGGGCTCGGATAGACACTGGAGAAGAGCCAAAGCCTAATTAATGATGGTGGTTTAAAAGAGATGAAAGCCAAGTAAACCCTTTGGTTAGTTAAGCAGTCCGACTCATTCTGTTGCCTTTATTAAGTCTGTGTTGCCAAACTTTTGTTGTTTGCATCGCCACAACGCACATCATGCGCTTACGTAACGCTGTGTCTGTGGTTGCAATCCAGGGTGCAATCACTGGAAGTCCACTTCAAATATAGTTGTTTACAGCTTCCAGGAAAACAACCAGCATTTAGTATGAAGTGCATGATCTGAGCACCGTTTAATTTTGAGTCATCCATGCCATCTCATAGATCTCTTAAATGAGAGGTTACTGTGAAGCATTTATTTATTTGGTCTAATTATTGCTTTTAGCCAAATATGCACCTAAAATTGTAAAGGCTGAATAATATTTTCAGAGTACATTACAGAAATTGCTGCATTAACTGATAAAGACAATAAAACAGTTCAGCCAGTAGACTATACTTTTTTCAGACTAGCACCTAAACAAATTGCATTATGCAATGGTGCTGAATTAGATGCCTGCAAAGTACGTTAGGCGAGACGGAGTCTTTGTAGCTGCCAGATTGTCGCAGTCGTATCTGTGTATTTTGACCTCATGACTCTGTGCCTGTCACCCTTTGGCAGTTGTGGTATGTCTGGCAGTCATGCTGTCCATCTGTCTGTCTGTCCGTACAGTTGAGCTTTTCATGGGTAATCGTAGGTCCCTGTGGCAGAGAGTCAAAAGAATAATACAGGCAGAGGCATTCAGGGGTCAGCGCATTACCCCAGCAGTAATGGCAGCGACTATCCACAGAGCCAGTCCTCAGATGGATGGCAAAAATGTAAGAGGGTGTAAGAAGGAATTAAATTTCAGTTCTTTTATTTAACAGGATACAGGAACAGATTTGATTTTCTACTTCGTGCTGTGTATTTTTTCCAGTGTGCCATTTTTACTTTGCAGCAGTAGAAAGTAGAAGAAAAGCCATCTGCAATCAACTACTATTATATATATATATATAGCACATTTCAAAACACTTATTAGGGGCTGTATGAGTTAAAAATAAAATAATTGTAGGCAAACAGTGGGAAACAGTCAAAAGATCACTCAGCGTTAGAGCAGAAATGCAGAAATTAAAAATGTTACAGATGATAAAAGAGTAAACAGGATAAAATAAACCATAAAATGGTTGGTAAGATCAAAATAGGAGAAAGCACAATTATAAAAATGTGTCTTTAAGAGAGATTTAAAATAGGACAAGGAGTTTGTGAGATGGAATTCCTCAGTGAGATTGTTCCAAAGAGTGGGAGCCCGGTCATCTCGGGTCCTCAGCCGGGACTGTGGAATGGCGAGCAGGGCCTACGCTGAGGACCTCGAGATATGACTGTGCACATATGGTGTTTAAAGATCTGAAATGTGGTTATGTGCAAGTCCAGAATGGGCCTTTAAAGTCAGCAATAAAATGTTAAAATCAATTATAAAATTTATTGGAAGCCAATGAAGAGAAGTAATGTGCTCTATTGCTGCAGATTTAGTGAGAACTATGGCTGCTACATCTCGGACGATCTGTATTTTCTATAGACTTTGTTGTATCAGGCAGGTGAAAAGAGAGTTACAGTAATCCAGAATAAAGGGAAATTATGCCATGAATGATTATCTCTAAATTTTTTCTGTGTGTATATATAAGGTTTTCCTGTATATATATATATATTAAAGCAGTGACAGTAATAAACTGTTAAAATGTGTTTCAATTCAAGTAATGAATAGGCTGTGTTTGCAGTAATAGTCAAACAAGAAATGTAACACAGAAGGATTTTTTTTTCAAAACCCCTCATTACAGATGTCGCATTCACACACTGAGCTTTCGAGCCACCTGTTTTTAATTTTGCGGAATATCTTCAGGCACAGCTTGTAATTCAAGGTTTCCTGTTTCACACCATCAGTGGCCGCTCCGCAGCACACATCCAGATGTAATCGTCTTTAGAAGACAAATATTGCACTGCAGGAATTGTGTGTTTGTATATGACTCATGCTAAAATATATCAAAAAAATTTACAGGGATACAAAATAGCTTCCACATACTGGGCCCGCACAGAGCGAGGGCAGCCGCCGGCTTTAAGGTTGGTTTAAAGACCTCTTTCATAGACTCCACATGTACTTTAAGTCAAAGTACATTTGACAAACATGTGTCAAGTGGTGTCATTGTTTTACTACGTAATACATGTTGGTGTGTAAAGCTGGATAAAAATGTCTACATCTTACTGTCGACATTTTTATTGTTTGTCTGTGAGTAGATTTATAACATAGCACGGACAAAAATATTTTAATGATGGCGCTGACATTTCTCAAAATATGCTTTATCATGGCCAAAGGGCATAGTTTCCTCCTCTTACTTATTAAAAAAAAAGTAATTGCACAGCTGTGATTTTTTGTATTTCTGCGAGAATTGTATTATAATTCCTGCAGAAACTAATGTAAATTGGTTGCACTCTGTAATAAATGAGTCTTGTGAATATAATATTACAAAGTAATATAATGCTTGAAGACAAGTGGCATGCAAACCTAGAAATAAGAATAAAAGATTATCTTGTCTAGTCAGAATTAAAACGTCACTCTGAGCAGTGTGTCTAATCCATTCTGCACCACTGTGCCACTCTGCCTGTGGTCTTTACTCCTTCAACATCAATAACGCAAGAAGCACTTTATTGTCCAACACCCACAACATCAGCTGCATAAGATGCATTGGACCTGACAGACCCTTTCTGCGTGCTGAACAGAGATGAATGGTCCATGTAACCTGAGATGGAAATATTTGGAGTATCCATTAGATCTCCCTCACCTATTTTTGAAATCGTAGTTTTACTTCTTAATGGTTGCACTCATCTACCATAACATGCTGTTAGGAAACACTCAATTATAATACTGTAATGTCTTTACTTCATCTAAAGTGTTGCGAAGGAACACTATGAGAACTGCTTTTTCCTCGTCCAACCGGTAATTCTAGGAAAAACAATCTAGTTAAACTCAAGTCCGGAAAGTGGCAACATTTTCAAGTACTTGGATTAATGAGAAGAAATGGCAAATTTAGATGTAAACGAGAAGGGTGCTTGGAGAGCCTATACCCTATCTCACTATATAACAAAGGTGAAAAAAACAAATTGGTTGGACATTGGTTCAGCAGTTTTTGTGTAATCCTGCTGACAGTCAGACAAAGAAATGCTGTTGGAAACTCCTTGGCTTGGGTAAAAAGGATGTAAAAGTAACCTCCTAAAGATTCCATGCCTTGTTTTCTACATATAACCATTATGAAACTACTTTGAATAGAGCACCACAAGCACAAACTGAACTGGAACGTGACGTCAGCCTGAGACACTATGTTACTACAGGATTTGATTCATAAATGTTCATGTTTTTATTCACGTAAACACAAACACCTTGTGACCATCTTAAATTTGTTGTGTGTCAAACAAATTAATACTGTCAAAGCTCCTCCAGTGGGATTCTATGCTTTGTCTATAATTATACCTTTGGCATGTCTGTATGCATAACAACATTGGTACCCAGACAGTGTAAGGAGAGTGTGGTTTCATTACACACGTGTGTGTATAGACCCATTTGTTTTCACTGAATGAGATACACTTATTAGTCAGTTAGATGCAATGAGAACAGAGACGCCTCTTAATTTGAGATACATTTGTTTGTAACTTTTTTTTGATAAATTCAAAAAGTTGATTTCAAAATGCAGATTTGTTGTATTTGTGGAATTCAGTTTTTGTTGTTATATGAATATGTGGAACATTTAACTTTATTTGTTTATTTCCGTCATCTAGTCTTTTTTGCTGCTTTAGTATCAGCGCCTGTGTATATTTGTGTTGGCTGTTGATTTATTTTTGACTTGATTACAAAAAAGTTGAATATGTCTTCTCCCCCATCTTCAGTCATACTGACAGACGAGGAGGTTCAGAGGAAGAAAGAAATGATACTGAAGAGGAAGGAGGAGGAGGCGGCCCGGGAGGCGATGAGGCCGCGGCTGAACGAGGAGCAAGCTCGGATGATTTCCTCTCTGGTGGAAGCTCATCACAAGACCTATGATGCCTCCTATTCTGACTTCTCCCGCTTCAGGGTGAGTCCACTACAAAGTTTCATCCTTTACCAAAGCCACACTCACAGTATCATCGATGCAGCCAAAGATGCTTTGTTCTCCACCGATAAATGTGGGTGGAGCAGGTCAGAATGTAATTCGACAAAAATTGGGTTCCCTGCAGCACATTATCCAGACACGATACAAGATTTTATAAAATGCAAAGCGATACACAACTTAGCAATGCACAGGTTACGTAGAGTTTACTGTTATCCTGTCACCATAAACTTAATTTGAGACTAAAAGACTTTTAAGGCTAAATGGTAAAGAACTGTCAGAATTGGTTATGGGTATAATCTGACCAGGTTTACTACAACTCTTCGGTCCATGGCATTTGTGCCCTTCAAAAGTTGGGCTGGTGTGAAAATGTTTATATCAGTTTGTTTTTAAAGCTACACTATATAACTTTTACTGAGCAACAGCGCCCTCTGCAGCTAGATATAGTGAATAGTTCTGGTGGGCTCTGTGTCAGAGTGGAGCTCTGACTGCGTTGTTCCATTCACTTAACTGAAACACTACACTGGATTTAACCCCGGCTTCCCGAACCAGAAAAGCTTCCTCTGTAACAAATACACTTAACTGTATAGTTCTTGATATTTTAAAAGTATAATCACTGACTGTTGTGAATAAACACGGTTTTTTAATGACCTCTAAGTGTTTTTAACTGATCTACAGTCCAGCTTCACTTGCTGGTTCAGATTCTGTCAATTCAAGCTTTGACCATTCACCCAATCACGTTCAGGGTGAAGAGTTGGAATGAAGGCTACACTATATAGAGAAGTGCAGAGTAAAACCACTCCTGTGATCTAGAGATACGTGTTAGTAATGTCTGTAGACACATTCATATTTACCTCACACCCACATGTTAGCTACATCACCTGTGTGTGTGTGTGTGTTTTCGCTTCACACAAGTAACACACGTCGCTAAAGGCGTTTCACTGCCTGGCACTGGCATCACATTCTCTATCTCAACGTCACTATTGGCAGGTGACATTCTCTCCGAGGACCACAGCAACTGGGTCGCCCCAGTAAATGAGATTGGATGGAAAGAGAGTTTCAGAACACTTCTGTGGTCTATTAGTGTCATGTGTGATTCTGTCACACTGCAGCAGACAGCCATAACCACACTGACCAGAGTTTTTCAGCTGTTGCTTTGTGTCTCTTTGAATTGCATGTGACCCTCTACAAGATGTTAATCCTTCATATAAACCAGGCTAAAACCTGAATTAATCTCTGATAAGACTATAAAAACTAAAGTGGGCTTTGGATTTGATCAGGAACTGGAGTAGTGTAAACCTGCCTGTTTGAAAAGGCTGTGTGTTTGGCCTGTGGTGATGCTGACTGCAGCTTTCTTTCTGAAACTGTAAAAGGGACCAATGATCAGCTGGATTCTGTTTCTTGCACCGATTTTAAGACATTTGTGGAAGAAGTAGGTAGATGGCTATTTGTATATGGGTCTAACCAGAAGGTCTTTTCTGCCCATAGATGCAGTGTATGAATGTGTGTGAGAGGGCAAAAAACTGTACTGTAAAGTGTTTTGAGTGGTCATCAAGACTTGAAAAGTATTATATAAATACAGACCATTTACATGACACCGCATGTTGCAGCTTTATGAGGAGTAAACATAAAGACTATGCACATTTTGATTACAGAACATACTTCCCTCAATTTAGACAAACAATCAAACAGTGTGTTTGAGTTCATCATCGGGTTTTATACAGACCTCGAAACATTATACAAACCTGTCAAACATTCTGTTTGAGTTTATCATCTGGTTTTATAAAAACCTGACAAACATTATTTTTAATGTAGCCTTCCAAAAACGTAGTCAGGTTCTGATTCCTACAGCCTGAATTAGAATTAGAAGTTAGATGGACAACCAGTGTTGTGCATTACGTTTTTGTGAACTACGAACTGAACGAATCAGTTTACATAGGATGTTCACGTACATTTTTTAAATAATCTTCGTATTGGGCCATCAAGTGAAATACCAGGAGCGAGAGAACATTTGTGTGTGTGTGCTGTCTGTGAGCAGGCACACAGGCCTGGGGCCCTGCCCCCACTCACCTGCTCAGAGCAACACACGTAGTGAGTTCAGAGGAGCGTTACCGTGAAGCAGCCGGTGAGTGACTTTGTTGAGTAACAGTGGAAACAAACAGTGAAAACACAGAGTTTCTCTGGTCACATCTGCTCTATGATCAGCTGCGTAATGTTCAGAGCAGAAGCTGCAGTTGTTTTGTACCGAGCTGGAGTTTCAGTTTTCTCCTCCTCTCTGACCTGCTCTCACTTTAACTAATAAACTCTCATCACTCGTTATCAGGACTTGATCAGTACATGAAGTAACTCAGTGTCTGTTTGATTCGCTCCAGAGTTTATGAGGCTGCATTTTAACATCATGAAAAATGACTTGTCAACATGTTGTGCTCGGTACAACACGAGATGAGATGTGAATAGCAGGACTCAGTGTTAAAGTGACCGGAGAGGTCCGGATTCATGATCCGACACCATCTATTAATAGCTAAACACTTGATCATCACTTTGTCATCTAAATCATCCTAATAAAAAAACGGAACATGGATTTAAAATCCAGAACCTTCTGGATGTGTGCTGAGGAAATAGAACAGTTATAGTTATAACGGTTATAGGATTTAGTTAGAAAATGTATCCAGAGTGTAACCGTACATATGTGAGTATTTGCATTTGATTCTTTGCTCCAGGTGGCACAGATGCTTTCTTAAAGTGAGGATATTAATATCTGTGTGTCTCTGTGTTTGTTTGCAGCCTCCAGTGCGTGAAGGTCCAGTAACACGCAGTGCCAGCAGAGCGGCCTCCCTTCACTCTTTGTCCGATGCATCCTCTGACTCATTCAACCACTCTCCGGGTAAGACTCAAAACAAGTCCTTCTCCTCTTGTGTTTGATTATGTTTGTCATTCAGGGTTAACTTCAACAAGGTCCCCAAAGAGATCTGTCGATTTTCAAAACTCAAATTTGGCAGAAACTCTTCTGCGGCGGTCTTTATCTGCCTCATGCTGGGTTTTACTATTGATCGGTTGTTGCTCTCAAATAAAGCGATTATGTTTCAGTTGTCAAAGAAAAAGGCTACAGTGATTTTAATATGAACCTGGAAAAATTAGATAGTAGAAATATGTGCACAGAAACTGCACTGGTTGGCTGAGGCATACAACCGCAGTGCGGTAAGTCTAGTTTTAATCAAACTTCAGTTACTTGATTTTGAGTTGGTATTTTCAGCTCACCCCACAGTTGCTCTTTCCAGTTTAGCGGGCCACTCTGCCCAAAAATTGTTTATTTCGTACGAAAGATTCATATTTGATTTGTGTTATATTGATTTTAAGTTTTATTCTAATGTAGATTTAATTTCCATTTCCTTATTGTTTATCTTAAGCTTTATTTTAAGATCCAATTTAAGTTTATTGTGGATTGTTTTATATCAACCTGTTTTGTCTCTCACTGGTTCTTTGCTATGTCTCCGTGTAAGACCATTCAGTCGTCCAGATTTTTGTCATCCAAGAGGAGTTAAATCACAGACAACTGGAGAGTAGATCTGTTGTTTCATCTCTCATCCAATTATTATAGTTTTTACAGCTTGTGGGGATTCCCAGGTACATTGGTTTTAGGTGACTCTTGAGCCCAGTAACCAACTAACGTCATTTCCTTACTCTCCCCATCCCCTCTCCTCACTCCCTTCCTCTGCCCTTGTCTTGTCTCCTTATCTCCTGCCTAAAACAGAGTCCGTGGACACCAAGATGAACTTCAGCAACTTGTTAATGATGTACCAGGATGGCGCCAGCAGTCCAGACTCCAGCGAGGAGGATACTAAGCTCTCCATGCTCCCCCATCTGGCCGACCTGGTCTCCTACAGCATCCAGAAGGTCATTGGTTTTGCCAAGATGATTCCAGGCTTCAGGTACCAATTCAAACAGACTGCAGTGATTGAGTTCAGCCAAGGAAAAAAAAGCTCTTTGGCCGATTTAAGGAAAGTTTAGTAGCTGTTTGGGATGGTGTCTTTTTTTGATCCCACCACTAAGTGATTTCTAGACGTTTTTAAGATTTCCTTGTTCGGAACTTTTTGATCTAAACAGTAAATCCTTCAATGTCAGTCAGCTTTACTTGTGCATCTAAATGTATCAAATTTAATTCATTACCATAACGTTGGGTTGATTGACAAAAAAGTAAACAAATCTGCTTCTAAGTGATAACTGGTTCTCCATGTAACTCCATGATAAGTGATTCATAATTTGAATCATTAATCAGATGCCAGACATTTGCTTTTATTTGTAAATGATGCTGTCACATGAAATTAATTCACATTATCATACACTGTATATATTGACATTTTTATAGACATAGGGATTCATATAATACAAATAATTGTAGCCCTAATTAAATTAATTGTTTGTTATGTTAAAGTGAAAGCTCTGATAGTGATACACTGAATATTTTATATTTCTTTGATATTGTAGCCATGGAGAAAATTAAGCATTACCACCCCCGCTGCCATCTTGTTTACCCACTCCTCTGACTATTTAGTTGACTGGTAAAATTCTGCTGCATCCAACCAGTAGCACGCACAGACACAAAGGCTGGCAGCCTGAAAGAGCCCCCCCACCCACACGCCGAGCACACTGACTCACTGCCCACATGTGTGCAGCCTATTACCAGGGTAAGATGAGATGTTATTATCGCTCCCAAACAAACAAGCTCCTCCAAGAAAGCGTCTGGAACAGGCTGTAGCTTTATAAACAAGCTGAGCAAAGAGATATGCACGTACACAAGACCATGTAACAAAAGAACAGAGAAGACATGTCTGCCACATGGGTTAACATGACGCATACACGAGATAAAGAAATGGAAATGGAGCAATGTTTGTTGGTGTTCACGTGGCTTTGTATGAATATCCATGTATTATCCACTGCTGACATTGCTGCTGTGCATCATAGGTATACATTATTATTGAAATATTGAATATAAATAAACCCCCCAAGGGTTTTCAGATTGTTTGCTTATGATTGAGCAGTAGATAAACTCTGATTAGACCTCAGCCCTCATGTTGTCCCTGGGCCCTCATTTAAGAGGTTGTTGTATTTCACTCACTGTTTCTTCCCTTATTTTCTTATTTCATAAACTTTAGAGATATTGTATAATTTGAGCTTAAAATGTATACCTTTTATTTAAGGGTTTTAATTGTTCGTAGTAATAGGCATTACTATTGTAAAATTATTTTACCACCGTCTATACACGCTTTATATACAGCAACACTGCAGTAATTCAAACTACAGCATACTCAGGTTAATTGCTTCAAATAAATCAAGCAGTAAATTCTGTTAAGCACAATACTATCAATTAAAGTGACGGTGTTCCCTATAGCAACTTCTGCATGAAGCACATTTAACAGTTAACAGTTTTTTCTGCAGGTTTATCACAGCTTTGCAACAGCATCTTTGATCCATTGAGCATTTCATGCTACACAAACAAAATGTAGAAGACAGTGAACACATAACAAAACGGGAGAGTAATGAGAAATGCGTAGAATATGAATGTGAGTCCTATTTTATTTCTAGCTTATCGTTTATCAAATGTGTCTAAGTTCTGTAGAGAAAACCCAGAAAACCTTTTACCCATCATGGAGGTAGTGATGGTGTTTGGTCCTAAAGCTGTATGTGCATCTGTCAGCATGTGGAGACAAAGCCAAAGCCTTGGGTTGAAAGCGCTGTTACTATAGTCACTTCCGCTTGCATACACATTTACAAGTGTAGGCGGCCTTATTTAGATTAGGAATACTTAATTCAATACAGTTTGGACGTTTCATCCTGGACAATTTTTCATGTTCACAAATGTTTTGCTTTAACCCCTGTATTTATTTTCTTGTGTTTCGATTTTAAATAGTTTAAGTTAAATAGTTGTCAAATTATATTAATGTGACATGAATCTCCCTTTGCTTTGCACAGATACAACCGGTTGAGGGGGGGAAACTTTCAATTTTATTTACATTTTACAGCCTGTACTTTTATACCTTTTACCTGAGTAAAGAGGTTAAATCAGATCTTTTACTTTCATTTGACTCTTGTTTAATACAAGTATTTGTACTTCTTGAGTAAAGAATGTGTGTACTTCTGCCACCTCTGCTTATACTGTGCATGTGTGTGTATTCCAGAGATCTGACAGCCGAGGACCAGATCGCTCTGTTGAAGTCAAGTGCCATTGAGATCATCATGCTGCGATCCAACCAGTCGTTCAGTCTGGAGGACATGTCCTGGAGCTGCGGAGGGCCCGACTTCAAATACTGCATCAATGATGTCACAAAGGGTTGGTTGCATCTCACCATCGTAGCAGTGAAACAGGATTAGTGGCTTTGTTTCATGTGTTCTAACTCCACTACATAAATCACACACAAGGAGCAGCATGTTCAGACTCTTATACACAAACAGCATGTCAGAGACTTTGCCTATTGAACACATCTCTCCACACACACACACACACACACACACACACACNACACACACACACACACACACACACACACACACACTCTCTGTTTATCAAGTGGCCATGATGGCTGCAGCATCAACCACACGTTGATAAAATGTGTCCTTGTATATGCTCACACTCAGGGAGAGAAAAGTGTTCATTGTTGCAGCTGATGACACAGCTGTGATGTCTTTTCCCCCCACTTTATATAACCGACTCCTACAAGGATCACCCACACACTGCTTTTCTATGCACACTTTCACATTACTGTGAGGTTTTTACTTCAGGTATTTTCATAGAAGCAATAAAGCAGCCACAAATACACACACTCAGTGCTTGTTCACTCACACATTCAGGACAGGAAGTAATGTTCTCTGTCAGCAATGTATAAACAGAGCAAGAGAGAGCAGTGGTTCTCTTCTGAAGCCCCTCTGCTGTATGTGTGTTTTCATTCATAAGTCAATAGGAAAGCACAATATGGTTCTCTGATGTAACAGACTGTCTCCGTGTTGTCCTCCCCAGCGGGCCACACTCTGGAGCTGTTAGAGCCGCTGGTGAAGTTCCAGGTCGGTTTGAAGAAACTCAACCTGCACGAAGAGGAACACGTGCTGCTCATGGGCATCTGCCTGCTCTCCCCAGGTACTGCGTGTGTGTGTGTTTGTTCATTTACACATGAAAAGCTTTTCTTAATAAAGCCATCAATCTGAAAACATTTCACAGAATGTTTTCACCGTCTAACACTGAGGTGAGTCATTGAGTTAGTGCGTCCTTCTGCCTCAAGGCTTGTCTGCGGCTCAAGCACCAATCCTTTCTAAACTGGTTAAAAAAGATAGTCGTGAATACACAGCTTGCAGGCTCTTACAGTAATTGCATTATTTCAGTTTATATACGAGTACATACTGGTCAACATCACTAAATTATTAAATGTATTTATTACATTTGTCTTTAGCCGAAGGCTAAGATGTTCTACCATCTTTCACAGATACACAAACCACTTCAACAGTGCAGTGCATTGTTTTTAACTTTTTATGTGTGTGCTCTTGTACAGCTATCTTTGTGAGGACCCGTTTGAGCCTACACCCTACAGAGCGAGGACATTTTGGCCAGTCCTCACTTTCTGACCCACCTTTAATGGACTGTTTGGGGGTTAAGACTTGGTTTTGGGGTAAAGGTTAGAATAAGGTTTAGGTTAAGGGTTAGGCATTTAGTTTGGATGGTTAAGGTTAGGGTAAGCGGCTAAGGAATACATTATGCCAATGAGTGTCCTCACAAAAATAGAAGTACAAACCTGGGTGTGTGTGTTGATGGTAAAATGTGGTACTGAAGCAGAGGTTATTTTCCGTCTCTCAGTCACAAACATCTTAGCTTTTGATGAAACTTAGTAATGTGGTTGAGGGTTTAGGGTCTGGTCCTGGGTTGGAAGGGTTGGAACCTGCATATTGATGCTTTTGGCCACATGTGTTCTTTTACAACATCAATAACAATAACTACACCATCACATGCCCACAAAATAAATGTATTATACTCATCAGGTCCTCTCATTTAACGGTGGAATTATCATTGCATTATTATTTTTCTGGCCTGCATCGCTCTTTTAATGATCAAGTTTTATTATTCCATCATTAGTGACAATCATACTTAAATATGTCAATAATGTAGCACATATTAAATATAGCATATATAAATATAGCTACAGCATCTGCCTGTTTGCATTTCTAGGTTTTCTAGCCACATATCAGCACACTCATTCCTTCATCTTTCAAAGCTGAGCGTGATCGTGACAGTGGTAGTCCCAACCAGCTCCACACAAAACAGACTGGATCCCATCTGATCCAAGCACATTTATATTGATTTCTTCCTACTAAAGAATGTGCTGCCAACATGCATCAGACTTCTTTTAATTCTTAAGGTCATTCTTGGAGCTTTGTGCTGCTTCTTGAGTGATGGATTTCTCCTTGAAAAGTGTCTATAGAGGTTGACTTCATATAACGTCCTTCACTCTGTCTGATCAGTCAGAAAACCATAGATTACCATAGAAAAGTCCTTGACGCAAGTCAGTAACAGTTAACAGCAAACGTTTTCTATGTCTAAGGTTGAGTGAACATTGCATTCAAAGACGTTTGCTGCACTTTCTATAATTATGGTTCGTCTTACACCTTCCAACCACTGCTGCAACTGGGTTTCAGCCTCTGTTCAGAGACATTCTGGTGCTCTTGTGTTCTCAACCTTCTCCAAGTCGTCTCACAGTCTGGTTTCCAACTTGTTGAAGTGTTTCCTTCCATGTGGAGCCATATTGAATTAGACACAACCCAGATCAAAACAGAAAGATGTTCCCTATATACATGGTCACATAATTAGTTTTAATTCACAGTAATTACGAGGTGATAAAATTTGTTGCAGTGGCCAGAGTTGTTCTCACCTTTTCAGTGTAGTCTACTTAAGAAAATGTGTACATGCAGAGTGCCACTAACAATTACAGCTAAACTAGTTCTTATCTAATTTATCCTGCCATTAACACTGTAAGTAATGATCAAGTGAAAAGCCTGTAAATAAAGGCACAGTAAAACCCAGTAAAAACTGTATTTAGGTTCAAATAGGAATGGCAGAATAGAACACTTTATAAAGGAGCACAACAGAAAGAAAGTGGTTGTAATATTTTGTAGTTTGTGCTGGAAACCGTACATACTAAAACTAAATACTGTTTATTGTTTAAATTTATGTTAGATCTGTGTTTATTATTAGAGTGTGGTTGAGGGAACAGCTCCATTCAGTTTAACAGTGACCATTAGATAGACCATGATCACAATTCATTAACTTTTAACATCTTGTTTGTGGCACTAGCTTAAATGTTGTGTGACACTTTCTTTCTCTTTCCATCCATCAACCACCCCACCTCAATCTCCTCTTCTCTTTGACCTTCTCTCCTGATGTACATGTACGTTCTCCTATTTTTCACTCTCTCCATTTTCCCTTTGCAGATCGTCCAGGTGTCCAAGACCATGCCCGCGTTGAGCAGCTCCAAGACCGTCTGTCGGAGGCGTTGCAGGCCTACATCCGCATCAATCACCCAGGCGGACGCCTCCTCTACGCCAAGATGATCCAGAAACTGGCCGACCTGCGCAGCCTGAACGAGGAGCACTCCAAGCAGTACCGCTCGCTCTCCTTTCAGCCTGAGCACAGCATGCAGCTCACCCCGCTGGTGCTGGAGGTGTTCGGCAGCGAGGTGTCATAGCAGAGGAGGAGGCGAGTGTGTACACATGTACTCCCTCATCACACACAGGATGATTAACCAACCCTTACCACCTTTTTCCCCCAAGAAAACCCTGCCTTGATACATCCCTGGACATGTGGGAGAAAGATGGATAATCACACAGATGGTAACATTCACCTCTTCATCATTGGCCCATTCTCCTCCTCTTCCTCCTTACCTCAAGGAGCGATACTCAAATGCCTGGACCTCTGGATTTTTGGATTTATTACACCTGATGAGGCTTTGGATCTCTGCAGCACTTTGACAGGCCTTGAAAACACAGTACAGCATCACATTTCATCACATCATGCAGCTGTTGTGATGTCTGGAACAGATTTGACATCCAAAACCTCTCCACATCCACAAACTCCAGATTTGCCTTCTCTCATCACCACCTTTCTCCAGACATCACTTCTAGATCTCTGCCATATTTTTACAGTGGAGACAGCTTGATGGATGTGACCGTCACATCCTTTGGTTTAACCATCGTCTTTATAACATCACTTTAGGTTCACATCATCAGCTCCATCGATTAACTACGCTGGCACTTGTGAGGGACAGTTACATTTCTAGCAGTGTGACTACACTTGTGTTACTTAGTTATAAACTATTATTGATTTACAGTTTGTTGACAGCAAATACATCCAAATATATTAAACATCAACATGATGATCTTACGTTAATGTATTTAGGGATGCACCGATCCAACTTTGTCACTCCTGGTGCAGATATTGATACCTGGGCCTTGGTTATCGGCTGATAACGAGTATCAATCCAATATCAGTGTTGAATTAATAAGAGAACAAGCTCATTCTCAGCTGCAGAACCTTTTGGTGTAGCAAGAATAAAACACCTCCAAAATGACCCCCCTCGATTTTGCCTCCCTCCATGCTATGTTAGTGAGCAAAATCTACTGTTCTACTGGCGTGCTGCGGACACACGACGAATTGAATAGAATATATTGGTCCTATATATTGGCCCTATTGTCACCAATACCCCATCCAGTTGGTCAATATCGGTGCATCCCTTGACGTAATGGAAATACTTTGTTCACTGTTTGAAAAGTACTGGTGAGGATGAGAGTCCAGCAGGTGTCTTCTCCTGCTCAGCCCCGTGTCTGTGTGTAGGAGACATCTCAGATGGTGGAAGCAAGTTTAAAGTCGGAGGGTGTGGGTGAGATTTTGAGGAATGAGTGAAGGAGATTGGAGAGATGGAGGATGGAGATGCTACAGTTGAAATTTCCTGCTCACAAGACTAAAGGGAAATTCACACAACAAGAATGTATGTATAATGCTATATAAATATAAATGATACGTATAAGCTTATATATATATCTATATAAATATATATATATAGATATATTTATGAGGGCAAAACAAGTTTGCTTTCATGGAAGCTAATTGTTCTGACTGTTGTATAATGTAGAGGATTTGAAGGCCCCTCCTCAGTTGTGTGTGTGCGTTCTGTATGGAAAGACAGAGGTACACACACATGAGAAAGCACTGAAAAGTGTGTGAGGAGTCCTTCTATTTTTGTGATGTGTGTACAGTGTATGAGAATATTGATGGACCACAAGGGGGTGTGTGTACAGGCTCTGACTGAGGGTTCAGTGCAGGGAAGCACTTTTCTGTTGGTTTTTACTCGTTATTGGACCTGTGAAGTTTGTCGACTGACACAACGTCATGTTACGTGGATAGTGATTATCCCAAAAAAGAAAATAATAATAAATCTTTGTCCGGCTGGTTAGATTGCTGCTACGACAGTTAGAGCTAGATAGTTGGATAGAAACCAACTATCGGCTTTTGCCTCAGGGAAAAGTTTGTCTGATGATATTGTGTATGTGGTGTTTAGGTGTGTGTGTGGCGTAAGCTTACAATCATGAGACGGAGATTGTTTTTGAAGCTCTAGAATTCACTGTGATTTCTAATCATACTAAAAAACAGCGTAAGTAAGCTAAAAGTCAAACTTTTTAAAACGATTACCCTAAGATTTTCATTCCTTAGCTTTTGTTCATTAAAAATATAAACTCCTCTTATGAAATGGTTTGCATTATCGTAAAATGCATTAGAGAGCTTAAAAAGTACATACCCATTAAATGGCTACATTTAAATAATAGTAATCTGTGTTAAAACATTGCTTGATTAATATCCACCTCATGTGTAGTTTGTTATTTTCTTTCTTCAGGGCAAATTGAATATTCTACAGATGGTAGCAATATACAGTAGCAGAGCAATGTATAGTCTAGTGTTTTTTGAATGCAATCCTTCAGATGGCCATAACAGCAGGACAGAAATGTAAAGACATGAGAAAGATGCTTTTTGTATTCACTATCAAAACCAAGCCTCATACTGTTTTGTCAGAACTTTATAATTTCAACACCAGCCGCATAAGCGAGGTTTTTAGGATGTTACTTTTAAACATCACTACATATCATATCACCTTTTCTGTTGACACAGTGCATGCTCTCCCCTCATGCAGGCCTGGATCGCCCCCTTGTGGACAAACCTTGTAAATACCACTTGCTAAGTCTGTACATAGTTAGATATTAATGTAGGCAAAATACTAAGAGAATTCAATTGTTTGATGGAAAGATGCTCTGGAGATACAGCACTATATGCAATTAGGAGATGGACTCTTAGGTTGTATTTAACTAGGACGTGCAGGGGCGGCAATCCTGGTGATGTCACTGAGTTGTTTCAGGGGGCACTGAGAAAACTGTCAGAATTAGGTTTTCCCTTTCACAATAAAGTCACACATTCAAATTAAATCAATTTCATATTGAAAAGATGCAGATTTTGGTCCAACCCTTTGGTTTGATGCTAAAATGAACATTAGTGCAATGCTGAGACTCAGAAACCTAAAGATTTGTACCTGCAAAGGCCTCATGTGACTGAACATTCCCAGTGGTGGTTGTGTTGTCCATTCCAACTGGCTGAGTCTCACACACACACATACACACAAACAGTGTGATCAATCTTAACGCTCCGGCACCTGACAACTCAGTCCGTCACCACAGGAAGTGTGCCCTCTCTGTCCGTTCCAAGCTTATGGATGTATGTTCTATTCTCTCTGTCTCTTTCTAAAGTCAATCGATAAGCTTTTGACAATTATACAGTATATCCATAATGTTTTTACTTTGGTGAAAATCTCTCTTTTTTTTTTTCTTCCTCTGTTTTGTTCTGTTCAAGATTGTCGATCAATGTGTTGCAGAGTTTGCTTTCTAGCTTGTGCTTTGCTCGCTGCACTGGGACGTCATTTAAATCAAGCAGAGATGAGCAAAGTGGACTCCTGGAGCCTTTTCCAAGTGCAAATGAACAAGCTCCCCTTGTTCCCGTGATTTCAGCTGAGTGGAAACATAATAGCCATTTTAAAACTTAACGACGTGGCTTTAACTTCATGTACAGTCAGGGAATGGACACTGGCAACCGTTGTCCTTCTTTTTTCCTACTGGAATAACTTGTCAGTGCGGCCATGTTTCATCTGGATCCGTCACCTGAGGGGAAGGAACACGGCAGAGCTAAGTCTTTGTTAAAGGAAAAGAGGTCCCCAGCCCTGTGTTTAAAAAGAAAAAAAGCTACATCTGCTTTTCCAGAAGCAAGGTGTCAAACACAATCAAGTGATCATGAACTAACACTGCCTCAACTGACTGACACAGGATTTAGCCAATGGACACTATCGCAACAGCTTGGGCGTGCCTCTTCATTCATCACCCAACCATCTAACCGCCTCTCCTTCTGCAATAGCCAATTACAGCAGGATTACTCTTCATAGCTTTAACTTGACAGCCAGTCAGACTCTGCTTTTTTTGGAAACCGTGGTGCACCAAGGGCTGATGGGAGTTTTGCGAGACAGCTGCTTCGGGAATCGGACATTTTTGAAGACACGCATGACGACACAAAAATGGCTCCTTCTGTCCCGCCCAGAAAAAAAATCTGAGTGGACATCCAGAAGAACTGTGTAGAAAATGTGTATAGAAGATCATAGGAGATACAAGTTTTTTTGGTTTTTTCGCCACAGGCAGATGTAGTGACACGGTGTACAGGCAGAGGGCGCAGTGACTGATGAGATGTCGCCTCCTAAAACCCAAAGTGTGACATTACCTTTCTCACTACTTTGTGTGTCTCTCGCATTGCAGCTCTTGAAATTTTTACAAAATAGTTGTTGAATGACATACAAAAAAACGTGAACTTTTTACATACAACATCGACACGTACATCATCTGTTTGAAAAAGAAATGCAGGATGGGGTGATGGCGGGGAGAGTCTGCACCTTGCAAGAGTTCCGAGAGTCAAACCTCACCGATTTTACTTTGCTATGCTGCTTGTGAACACGTCGCTGATTCTCCTCTGTGGGTCATTTCTTAATTTTCCATCATTTTTAGCTTGTTCATGGAGAACGCCACGTCTGCATGACATGCCTGGCTTTAGCGTTCTGACACTAAACATTAACACGAGGACAGCAGACGATGTTAGGAGACGTTAAAATGGAACTGAGCAATGCGGATGTCTCTCCCCCTCTCTCCCTTGTCCTCCCCTCAACCCAGGTCAGCAGCTCCACCTCAGTAGCCTTACTAACGGAAACCTCACTCAGCTGGAAACATTGAACAGATACCTCAGTAATTTACAGAATGACTTTTTACCATAGCTTTTAAGGGAACCAAACATAAACTCTCACACACACACACTCAGACTCACTACAACTCTCTCCTCAGTCTTTGCAGTGTTATGACGTCTGTCTCTCTCTCACACACAGACATACACACACAGTAAACCAGTTGCCAGTTGTTTTATAAAGTAGAAGAATGTCCAGCAGAATCCTATTGCCAGTAGACCAGTCAGTATATAAGTTGGATCCCAATGTTTCTAAATGTTAACGATCACTCTCCAGTTTTTCTGCTTTACTCACGTGATCCTCGTCTCTGCCTCATTCTGTACTTTCAGTCTTTGTCGTCTCTACAAACAGACGATGCGCCGCTAAGCTTTGGCTCTGCGTTTAACCAAACATACTACCTCTCCCTCCTGCACATACATACAAGCATTTTTTTTTTTTTTTTTTTGTCAAAGCATGATTTTTTTTTTTTATTATGAGGCATCCGTTTTCATTTTTAACACTAATTTAGGGAGGTTTTTTGTGTATATGTACAGTTTATTCCTTTTTATATGGTTTCTCTTTTCAAATGCTGGATCATTTTTACCTCAGATCTCACTACAAGCCTACAAATCTTAAAGTCATTACATCAGAGGCCTCTTCGGCATCGTGTTCCCACTGGACTGGCATAAAAACATTTTAGAGTCTCTGCACGGCTGTGTTCACGTAGCAGCTAAAAGGACCCAGATTCTTTCTTCATGCGACACAGATCTGATATTTTCTAGATCAAGGAATTCAGCCTCAATTAAAATAAGATGATGCATCCTAAATAGAGGTGTTAACTAGATCAGTATACTCCAATACTGTAATAATAGTATTAATAATAATACCAACCAAATGAATTTGGTTCATAAACTTGAGTTTGTAGACAATGATGGAAACAAGTCAGAGAGAAGAGCAGTTAACATTATGCTAAATATTTAATTACATCCAGGACACGGTAGCTCAGTTTAGCTTAAAAAGGTAAAAAAAAAATCACCTCAGATTTTGTACAGATAAAATAGAGATAATAATACATATACCTTTTTTACACCGAAACTAGCAACGTATGTAAACACCAGTAAATATTGCCAATAGAGGAGTCCATCATTCTTTCTCTTCTTTCACATTTCCATCACTGCTGATCGGAGACGGTGAAACCTGTGTCTACTGCAGAGTGGTTTAACCCAGGAGAGAATACTGATTGTATCCATTCTCATTGCAGACAAAATCCAGATGTTAATGGCTGTTGGTTGTTTTTTTGACATGTGGAAAAGATTTACAGGTGCTTTTAGGCCACATTGTTATTGTGGGACACAGGCAGTCTTGCCGTTTCCCCCTGTCTCCAGATCACATTAAGCTCTTGCTTCACATTGTAGTACAAATGGTAAAGAGCTGTTAAGCTTCTACTTTACAAGAAATAAGCATTATGTCCAACATCTAAAGTGATCATTTACATATCAAATCTAAAATTTCAAAACAAAAGAGGCAAACTGTCAAAGTTAAATTAAAATAGCATTAAAAGAGACGATGGGTTGAGAAAGTCTTTTCCTAATTCAGATCACGCTGGGACCGAGATGAAAGCTGTTATGTGAACGCAGCATGAAACCTCCGAGGTAACGAGCAGACGTGTGTCTGCTCATCCCAACGTTGCACCAAAAGAATTTGGATGAAGGAGGCAGGTGGTCCTGCCTGAGCAAAGCAAAGCCTTCAAAAATACTTTGAGGCTACTATACTAACATGTTCTGTCACAGTAAAATGCCACCTGGTTGGCAGAGGACTCCTTTGTTGGTCTGATGGGACTCCGCAGAGGATGTTTCTGTTAAGAGCTGAATCGATGTCACACAGTTCAGAACCCTCCATCAGGAGAGTTTGAATGTTCTCGGCTCTTCCACAATCGTTCAGAGATGAGAAATGGAGGCATAGATACGTACTGATTAAAACAAAATAAAGGGAGTGGTAGTTAAACTTCGATAACTGCTCTGTCCTAACATCTCAAATGTAAAAAGTACTGAACAAGATGTTGTCTTTCAGTCGGCTTTGTCTCACAGGCTTCCTGTGCGTTTCTCTGTAGCTGTTTTCCTTCAAAAGGTCTGAATGGCTTTGTAACATTGGGATCCTGTTTTAGATTTTCTAGATACAAATAGTGTGTAATGAAATTTTGTTTCTGCTCAGCGGCCAGATAAGTCTCACACACCCACTCTCCCCCCGTTTCTCAGCACTCTGCCTTTTTCTAACCTCTCACTCAGCTTCCACGTCACCAGGCCTTCAACACATATGCTGTGACTGACACACGGAGCCTTCAGCAATCACTCTTTGTATAATGATGACATCACCTCTCAGCTCACAGCATGACGACGTCACGGCTCCTCTAAGGTTCATTTAACACGATCAGCTGCTGTTGATAGACAGATATGCAAATATCACAGAGTTCATTCAGTGCGTAGAAATATTTCATAATGTAATGATTAAATGTTTTTTTTTAATCAACGTAGTCATTGGAAAGATATGGCCTTTTGGGGAAAAAGATGAAATAAGATACGACACCCAATCTGCCAGTATTGAAGAAAGGTTATTTGTTGTTTAATGTTGACAATGAAATTAGCTGTATCCTGAAAAATGGAATGAAAACAGACTGAAAATTGAATCTTAGATGGTTTGACAGATTTTTGAGTGATCCAAGTTTGTAGCAGCCTCAGTTAAAGTGCCCATATTATGTTGTTAGTTGTATTGTTGGAACAGGAGTCCTTCTTTCCCACAGAAACCGCTGCTGCAGCGTACGGTCTGAAGTGATGTGTATTTTGAATATCACAGCATGTAAAGATAGTAGATCCCAAATAACAATGATGAACCTGAATCTGTTAATAACACAATGTGGGCACTTTAAGCTCCTGCTGATTGGTTGAACCTGAAAAGAGCAGGTGGACAGAAAGTTTCTCTTCTGTCAGAACAGACGAGCAGATATCGTTGTGGATCCGCCGTCATCTGTTGCTCTGGTTGCATTTCTCTGCTACCTCTTTAAATATGCGCTTGCTCATACACACATGCACTTAAACAGCTGCACTCACACACGAACATACACTTATACCGACTGACTGAAAAGGCAGACGGTAAACACAGCACACACTCGCTGATCAATACACACACACACGACGCACACTTGTGTGCACTTCTTACTCCCTCACCAGCAGTTATTGCCAATGATGCACTTGTGTATTTGTCTCTAAATGCTCTGCAAAGCGTGTGATGTCAAAAAAAATGATCTGTTGTCATCTTTTTTTTAACTCTGATCT